TGCTCATGAGCTGTGCTACAAGTGCTGGGAATGTGAGGACAATGGAAGAACTTCTTAATCAGGTAGGGTATGCACATTATGTTGTCTGCTTTTGTCGCGCACCGATCCTCTTACACAACCACGACTGATTCGTACTCATTCCTCGTAGAGCGAAGCGCCTTCCCTTCATCTCTTTTATCACTTGCCACTCTGACCCAGGAAACTCTCGGTTGTGGGGACGAGCGAGAGAGTGGAGAGAGTGGGGACGAGCGAGAGAGTGGAGAGAGTGAGCGAGAAAACAAAGTTTAGGGGGGTTAGGACTTCTTCCCAGACCCTTTCTGTTTCCTACTAGGATTTTCCCTCTCTTTTTTTTTAAGGGTGCTGATGTAAATGCCACTACGGACTACGATGGTAGGACTCCTCTTCATATCGCATGTGTAGAAGGCAACACGGAAGCGGTCGAATTTCTCCTGGCAAAAGGCGCAATTACGCAAGTGCGAGACAGATTTAAATGCTCCCCTCTGGACGATGCCATTAAATTCCGGCACAAAGAGATCGTTAAAACGCTTCGGAAAGCTGGTGCTCAGTTGATGAAATCTTCTATGGAGACAGCGGTTGAACTTTGTCGCTTGGCTGCGAAAAATCGAGTGGATGACTTACTCGTGTGGCAATTCGCGGGAGCGGATTTTAATGCGAGTGATTACGATAAAAGAACGCCTCTCCATGTGGTGAGTTCGGAGAAAAAATGTAGACAGTAAGAAAGACTCGCTCAAAGTTTTCGACCCTCAAAATTTAATTGATTTTGAATGTAATCTGGGATTTCACCGCCTTTGCATTTATTTGTGATTGGTGCAGAAAATTTGTGTCCTCCTTCTCGACCAGTCAGATGCAAAGCTAAATGATACCATTCGCGAAGTGGTCACCCGCGTTTTCCCGCGCTTTTTTCAAGCAGTTTTCTTGTTTTTATTTTTAGTTATCATTGACTCCAAGCGCTATGTTTATTTAATGTTTTTTTTTCTGATTGACTGTGTTGATTACCTCGGTTCCTTTTTTAAGAGGCTTAAAGGAAATGCGCGCGGTGCTGAAACCATACCAGTGGTTGGGTCTCATTTCCTGCCGGGTTTGACCCTTTGACCCTTTTGAGTGACTAACATCTAATTTCTCCTTACAACATCACCCCTGGATCACACATTAAGGTCATGAGAATAAAGGAAATGAACGTCACCAACAGAAGTTTTTGATTGTTAAACAAATTCTCCTTGTCAGCACCTTAAGAAATGTATAGAGAACAGTATGGAGAATATGCATAATGTGATTAAGGTATAAAGGGTTTAGACGTTTCCTCTTCTCCTGAATTGCAGGCCGTTTGCCGTAACAACGTAGAGACTGTTGCCTTCTTGCTGGAGCATGGTGTAAACCCGTACCTCCGTGATGTTTTTGGCAGCACTCCCATGGACAATGCCAAGTCGTATGAATTGCACAATATTATCGATATGTTAGACGGATACTGCGGATTAAAGAAGTTTAATGTTCTCTCTCTAACTGAATCATCTTGAATAATTATTTTAACATGTTTTTTTTGTTTGTTTGTTTTTTTTAATATGGGAAAACAGCCTGTTCCAAGCTTTCAGTAAGTAGCGGCTGAGTGAAAAAAACCAGGGAGGCCTGGGTCAAGTCGCCGGAGAACGCTATTACGCGAACCGACCAAAGTCTCCCTCGTTCTTTAACACTTATCCGTTACTATCGCCTCGTTTCGCTTCGTTTTACCAGCTGAACACCTGGAACAGGATAATGGACCGATAGAATTAAAGTAATTTTTTTTTTTGAACTAGGAATGTGTTAAAATCAGTTAAAGGGATCGTAGTACAAGTGAGACAGCCAGAAGGCTATGTTTTCAATTGAAGAAAAATACGCGCAAGTGACTTAACATTTTATTTAGGAAGGAATGCAAGGTAGCCGACTTTTACTTCTTACGCGATTGGCAAAGCAGCAAAAACGATCGAAAACTAGTTGTCGGCAACGAGATGTTGAAAACGACTTTCGGTAACAGCCACTAAAAAACACCTGAATGATTTTTTTCTTTGCGATACTCATTCGAAAATTACTCTTTGGCTGGCAATATTGGGAAAATTATTTTAAGGTCATTTTAAAAGCTGTTATTTATTGGAGGGATAACTGAGCTCAAGATTTGGGTTTCGCCATTTAAGATATGACGATGTTATTTATTTTGTATATATTTTGTATATATTTATAATATATCCAAAACAAACAAAAGCGTGAGGGGAAGGGGGCTGGATGCGCTCAGATAAATATTATTTGTAAAAATTATCAAGTTAGTTATTCACATTTTGAGGGAGTATTATATGTTAGTGTTCGTGTTCATGCAAACGCCAATCGCATTTTTGTTTGTTTGTTTAATGGGATAAAAAAAACCTAAAGGCGAGGATTGTATTTTTGTAAAGAATAAGCTAAATAAAGGAAACTTATGGGTAACTATGGTTTCTCCGTTCTTTTCTGAAAACTTCGCTTAAACTTACGAAATTAGTACATTGTTTCTAAGCTGACGTACCGAGCGTTAGCCCTTCGTCAGAGCGAAGGGCCTGGGGCTAACGCTCGAAGCGTCAGCTTTTAAACTCTTCACGGTGGCGATTTACATTACCACCTCAGTTGATAAAATCAAATTGTCTTGTTATACTCCCCCACCGACGCAGCAAAACAGCTTCTTTAGAAAGTTACCCCCTTTTTACGCTTGGAGCAAACGACCATGACAGTTAGGCTTGGTTATGTATCGGGAGATACAAGTGCGAAAGTAATGACAAAAAAGAAAAACAACAACAACAACAACGAACAGGCGTGCAGTTGTAAGCAGCACATGGTGAACTCATTCCTTATAATTAGTCAATTCCTTTTTACAGGCTTTAAACTGCACGTGACGTTAGTATCACGCGATACTGCAAGTCAAGAGATTTCGCTGCTCTTGCAACCTATGAGAGCTTGCGGGCAGAGTAAAAACGACCAGAGCAGTATGGCTGCTTCTTCCTAACATTTTACATACATTTCACACATTTCACATTTCAAAAACCGATTTTCCTTTAAACACCCTTAGCCTTGCATGATTATTTATTCTAGGTTTCTTTCCATTTTTAGAAAAATTTTCCTTCCCCGATAGCTTCATCAGCACCTACACCACCTCCCAATCCTCTCACGTCTTTAAATAAGGCTCGGTTGCTCAGCTAACAAAGATGGCGAGTTCCCGGGAAATCGAAGGTCATTGCCCCACCCGACGTACAAACTGTTCTACCGGTGATTTCGGAACGTTATGAGTGATCCTGTTAAGAAAATATCTACAAGCTCCAAGAAAAGCCTAAAAACACTTCCGGAATGCGGTGAAAATGACGGCATTGTTGTTACAACAGGTGGCTCAGAAAAGTGCGCGGTACCGTCGAGCACAAAACATCTTCCCTCGACTACAGCAGGGAAACAAACAATGCAGTCAACTTCCAGCTCGGACGCTGCTGACGGTGATGTAGCATTGAATAGGCGATCATTTCATGCTCAGCTGTCTAGAAGTTTCTTTCAGTCGCGGTCTTCGAGTTCGTCCTCTGTAGATGGTGGTTCTTCAAGTCCGTCGAAAAGCCGTCTGGGCACGGTTCCTGTGGAGGATCCTATCACACACGAGAATGTTGTAAACAGTAAAGTTTTGTTGTTGTATACTGGTGGTGCGCTTGGATGGAAGGTAGATCCAAACCTAGAAGGTAAACATTTCAAAGTAAGGAATTATAAAATCATATGATGTGACCGAGTGCTTTGCAAGGGGTCTTCAATAGTGAGTTAGTAGATGGGAGAGGTTATGGCACAGTACAAGTGGATGGTGCTTTTACCTCACAGTGATAAGGATAAGAACCATAGGTGATCTCAAAATAACATTACTTGAGGTTTTCTTTTGGATCGACAATTATACCCCCCCCCCCCACCAAACAAATTAATAAAACAAAAACAAACAAAATTTCAGTAGGGTGGGGTAGTATTTGCTTCGTTTTCAAAGGATTGTTACAAAGTTTGACATGAAAGCTTACATCTAGATTTAGTGCAAGCCCATGTTCTGCATGTTGATAAGTCTCCTTGGAGTCAACTTGTTCCTGTAAAGTTAACCACTAATTTTTCAGGATTCCATCTTGATAAGAAACATGTACTGAAAGAACTGAAGAAGCTTCCCATGATGCATGATGTGGAGTATGTTGACTACATCCTTAGCAATGTACTGGATGATATTCCAGAGGAGGGCATTGGATCAGACACAATTGTGATGCCGTGAGTAAATGAGAAAATTTCAATTTCTGGCATTCATAGGCTCTCAATATGAATACTCCTTTTTCACTTTGACCCCAAAATACACTGAATAAAATTTAACCCCAAATACATTGAATAAAATGTATAATACTCTGAAAAATGCAAAACATGAGGGTAATTGTGAATGCAAATGGCTCACAAGGTGCTGTGGCTTATCTTAGTCTCTGTAATGTGAAAGGACTAAGAGTTGCCACTCCCTTGGATTGGATGCAAGTTTATTACAGGTTAACCCCTTAACCCCTTAGAGAGACTAGCCTTAATTTCTCCTTGCAGTATCACACCTGAATCAAACATTAAGGTCAGGAGAATAATGGAGATGGTCAACAACTACAGGAGCTCTTGAGTTTTAGGCAAATTCTCCTTGTCAGCACCTTAGAACTGTACAAAGAACAGTATGGGGAATATGCATAATGATTTTAGAGTGTAAAAGTTGAACACCTAACATTTCATTAGGTTTCCCTTCATTTTGCTGGAACTCGTGTACTCCTGAGATAGGTTGTACCATTTTATAATCCTGGGTGGAGTGAGACAGCACCTATTTGTACTCCTTGGTGGAGTAAGACAGTACCTTTTTATACTCCTGGGTGGAGTAAGTCAGTACCTATTTATACTCCCAGGTGGAGAGAGAGGCAGTACCTTATTATACTTCTAGGTAGGGAAGGGCACCTCAAGAGTAACATGTCTTGGTCAACGTAATGACATGACGAGGTGTCAAACTTGTAGCTTTCAATACAGAGTGTAGAGTGGTAGCTGTTAATAAGGTTAGCAAGTCTGTTGGTAAAATGAACATTAGCAGATGAAGTGGCCAGGAGATTTGGCTCACCATACACTATTGTGTTTATTTCTAATCCGCTTAGAGTCAGCAAGTATGGAAAACGTGTGTTTGTTGATGTTCTTGAGATGAAAGAGAGTCATGTAGTTGTTCATTCAAAAGATCAAGACATTCACGACTGGATCAATATTGCACTGCAAATCAAGGAATGTTATGAGAAATATCATGGATTTGTTATTCTTCATGGCACAGATACCATGGCATATCTTGCATCAGCACTCTCATTTATGTTTGAGAACCTTGGAAAGTCAGTGATCTTCACTGGTTCTCAGGCAAGTTTGTACAGTTGCATAACTCTATCAATAACACAGAATGATGTGTGAGTAAAAGTAATAATAATGAATAATGATACTAATAAGTATAGCAATAATGGCAGCAATTAGAAAACAAATATAGTGTTTTAAAAATCCCATCTGGCCAGAGGCAGAACATTTGGCTCTAAACAAAGTGCAGCCGAGGAGTTGAGCTTCGGGAAACCAAGAACAAATCCAATAAGCAACAGGGTGGAAGGCTCATACCCAGGACCACCAGATTACAGGTCCAGTGCCCTAACCACTGGGCCACCCTGCCTTCTTATAGTATTTATATGATTATATACCATAAATATGTTAGGTTTGTATAGTTATATTCATTCAGATGTCAGACAATTGACTCCTGGTTTGCTGCATGTACTTGTTAAATCAATATGCTGGATTTACTTTGTGTAGTATGCTTTGAGTGATCATCTAAATGATGGAAGGCAAAATCTTCTTGGAGCTCTAATGATTGCTGGCCATTATGTCATCCCAGAGGTAAATTTTAAGTATAAAATTGATAATTGTGTGACTTTCATGAAAAAAAAAAAAATCAACAACATTCACCAAATACAGTATTTTTAATGCTTAATTATAAATTGTTTGCAGGGCCTTGCAGAACACTGATTTTGTTAGTCTGGCTTACTTTTTTTTCACCATCTCTTTTTATTATTATTATTGTATTATACTTTATTAAATTCTCCTATTGAGGCTCTTCAGAATTTAATTAAAATGTAAAAAATGATGTTAAAAGAAAAAAGAGAAATTATAATAATATTGTACTGCATATGATAATTATATTAAAAAACTATATCAGTACTCCCTAAAAATATTCTTTAAAACTAGTTGGAAAACCTAAAACTTGGACATCTAATGCTTTCACCATCATCATCATTATCATCATCATTAACAGTGTCACAATTATTAAAAATGTTTTTTATTATTATCATCACTTTGTCATATTTATCTTAAAAATAAAAGCATTTGGTAAATGCCTTTATTTTTTTAAATTTAACCTATGCCAGGTGACTTTGTTCTTCCATGGAAAACTGTACCGTGGCAACCGTGCCTTGAAGGTTGATGCACGCAGATTTGGTGCATTTGACTCTCCAAACTGCCCTCCTTTGGCAACAGTAGAAGCTGGTATTGAAGGTAGGGGGCAATGTTGTTCAAGCTTTGGATGACTTGTCCAAATGTGGTCCCTTTTAATAGGTTCAAGGAAAGGTTCAATGTGGGGGCTTTTTTAAAACCCTTTACGCACTGAGACCAGCATGTATATTCTCCATACTTTTCTCCATTCATTTCCTGAGGTGCTGATTAGGAGAATTTGTTTAACAATCAAGAGCCTCTATAGTTGGTGATTACTTGCTCTAATCTCATGATAGTAATGTGTGAATCAGGGGTGATATTGTAAGGAGAAATTAGATGCTTATCACTTTTAGGGGCCAAAGGGTCAACAATTATTTACATCATAAACTCAATTTTTACTTATTTTGATGTAACACAACAAAGTACAAGTCTCATTTTTATCTCAAAGAGCTTTATTTTATTCAATGTTTTTTCTTTTTTTTAGTTGAGTGGGAGGAGCTGTTTTATGAAAATCAAGCAAGGAAATTTGAAATACATACCAAGATGAGCTCCAGTATAGGAGTGCTGAGAATTTTCCCTGGAATTACACAGGAAGCAGTTAGTATTCAAATCCTCAGCCTCTGCTTCATGTTACTTTTTATATAAATTTTTTGCAGTACTAACAAGATTTATGATTTAAAATGCAACAATATTTACAATACTAACATTGCTGATAACACTTGCATTTCGTTCTTCATTCTAATTATTCTAAGCACAAGGTAACAATATAGTTATAAAAGCTAAGTTTTTCGTTTGTCTCACGATGTAGTCGCGTATGATGTAGCGATCTACATCACACGTGACTACATCGTGAGACAAACAGAAACTTAGCTTTTATTGTTATTCACCATAATGAATAACCACAACCTTTTCTACGAAATATAGTTATAGTTCCATTCTAAATACTGAAGCCCATTTTTTTAATCCAAAGTCGCAAATTAACAGACCCTGACAGTTGCACAATTACCGTTGTGAGCAAACAAACAAATAAACCAAAAAAAAACAAAAACAAAACCAACAAAAATGAAAAAAAAAAGAAAAAATAAGCCATAGTTTAATCCATTTACCCAATATAAGTATACATGTTCTCCATACTTTTTTCTATACATTTCCCAAGCTGCTGACAAGGAGACTTTCATGAACAATCAAGAGCTTCTTTAGTGGGCAATCATTTCCTTTATTGTTATGAAATAGGTTGTTGTTCATTGTGGTAGTGGAATGATATTATAAGTTTGTTCTGTTGTCTCACGACAAGGTCACTTGATGTAGAATGCTGTGCCACAACCCACCATATAATGCCGTGCACAACCAGTCGACCCCATCGCCTGAAGAAGACTAGCAGTAAGCAGTCGAAACGTTGCGTTCTACATCAATTGACCTTGTCGTGAGACAACAATTGGGGAAGAAGCAGCTGAGGTTCTTTGGATCGTTCATATCATTTTTCATTTCCTGTGCCCATTCTCCTCTCTTCCAGGTACATGCTTTTCTAGAGCCTCCAATCGAGGGAGTCGTTCTCGAGACTTATGGCAGTGGTAATGGCCCTGATTCACGAAAAGAGCTCTTGGAGGAAATACGAGCTGCAGCTAAACGCGGAGTGATCATTGTGAATTGTACTCAGTGCTTGTACGGTCATGTTGTGGATTCGTATGCAACAGGCAGGGTATGTTCTTGGTTTTAGAAAGAATTTCGATTCAGTTGTAATGCTATAATCAATGTAATCATTGTCATGGCAAATCAGAACAAATATAAATGTCACAAAGAGCCAATTAGAACTCAGGATAAGAGCAGACGAACCGCCAGAAAGGCGAGAAAATGCGAGTGACCATGTCACGTGTGGCTTTGGTTTTCCATCTGATTGGTTGAGTGAATGGCGTGAGTTTTCTTTGGACCAATCAAAGTGCGCACTGAGAAATAACTGTAGAGCACCCTGCAACTCCCTCAACATGTGACGCTAATGTTTAGAGAGCGAAGTAAATAACAACGGGCAGTATTCGTATTCAACAAGATGCCAGCCTGCTAAGCTTGCAGTCAATTAGGTGTTTGGTGAAAAGAAAGGCGACTCTGTTGCGAAAAAATGAGCTATAAAGCTACTCATTCTTCCTTCTACACAAAACTTTAATCAAGATGCAAATGAACAGATGGGTTTCCGTTGTAGTAAGAAAATACAAACGAAATCCCTGCAATTACTTTCGACTTTCAATTGAAAATTTCTCCATCTATTTTCTAATTTGAGTAGGTTGGAGTGACTTCAAGCTGTATTTGCCTCTGTGTTAGGTTTTGGTGGAAGCTGGTGTGATTTCAGGAAATGATATGACGGTCGAGGCAGCGC